GGGGGGGGGGGGCATATCCGCGCACCCCTGGGGGTGGGTGCGGCGCTCCCCCCCCCCCCCCCCGCCCAGGGGCTGAGCCAGCGCGCCCGAGAGAGGACGGGCACAGAGGCATGGGCATGGGCGCGGCCCGCGCGAGAAGTCCCCTTGTCGCCCGTCGTTCACCGGAAAGGCGGGCCGGGGGGGAGGGGGGGGGGGACAATGCGCCGGGGTGTGCTGGAGTAAGCACATGTCTGCGCACTCGTAGGCGCGAGAAGCACGCAGGCGTATACATGCGTGTGAATAAATGCATCCCCGCGTCCGCGTCCGCGTCCGCGTCCGTGGTGTGCATGATACGTGTGTATGCCTGCGGGGCCTGGGCCGGGCGACGGCAGGACCGGGGGGTGCGGGGTGGGGGTGGGGGGGGGGCCTTCGGTGGAGTGAAAACACCTGCCACCGCCCTCGGACAGGCCGCGTTAGAAAATCTTCAGACCCGCTGCCCCCTTCCTCCCCCTGCTCCGCCCAACCCCGCCCCCGTCCCCCCCCCCCCACCCTCCGCCTCTTCCTTCCATCCCCTTCGTCGTGCACCTCCCTCGCCCTCGCCGCGTCCCTTGCTCTCCCCTCTTCCTCCCCCCCCCCCTCACCGCAAAGGCTGATCCGCGATCGTCCTGTGGCCCGCGCAGACGTCGTAGCCCCGCCTCCTTCCTCTCGCACCCCCTCCCCCGTCCCGATGTACGGATCTGCCCTGCATGTGGCTGCTTCTTCGCCGAGTCACCTCTCCTCTTTGTCAATCCGCCAGCCGGTCTGACCCCTTTTCCTGTAGCTAGAGACAGACCCTCTCTCCCTCCCCCCCCCCACGCCTCTCCTTCGCCATTCAGTCATGGAGGCCTCCTCAACCACAAAGCCCACGGACTACCCAGGTGGCCAGGCGCCGGCTGCTGCCGCTGCCCCGGCCGCCGATGCCGCTGCTGCTCCGGCTGCCGCCGCCGCCGCCGCCGCCGCCGCCCCGGTCGCTGCCGCCCCCCCTCGCCTGAACTACATCACTACCAAGAGTCCGTTTCCCTTCTCTCCCCTCTCCCCGCTCGACGTTATGCACTTTTCCCCGTCCTCGCTATGCCCTTCTGTGTGCTGCGGGGCCGTCGGTTTGGCCCGTCCGCCTGCCCGATCTCCCATCCCCCCTCCCCCCCTCCCCTCCCGCGTCGCGCTGACTTCGTCCCTCTGCTGTTGGTAGCCCTCCTCGACAAGTACCAGGACAAGCTGACCCCCTTCGAGATCAGTGAGGCCCTGCACTACCCGCGCATCTACTACTTTGGCGACGGCGCCAACAAGATCCGCGGCATTCCCTGGGCCCCGAACAACCATGGCTATGACGATAACAATGGCTACCTGCACCTAGTTAACAATGACCACATTGCCTACCGGTTCAGCATCATCGACAAGCTGGGCCGCGGGTCCTTTGGCCAGGTGCGCGCCGCGTCGCTCGGGCCATTTCCCGCTCGAGCCCTCCTCTACATCTCTCCCCTCTCCTTCTCTCTCCTCTCCTTTTCTCTCCTCTCCTTTTCTCTCCTCTCC